ACTTGCTGTCTGGGCTGGCATCAAGTAAATGACGTGAGTTCTTCAGTTTCTTCACTTTTAATTGCTTTTTCTGTAAGGTGGTCTGTCATATCTGGAGGAGACACAAATGGAGAACCATCATTCTCAGACATGCAATTGAAATCCTTTTCTTGAGTCTAACAGTAGCAAAGGGCAAAGGTACAGAGGGGCTTGTCTCCTGACCTGGTACTTAAATGATGGACAGATGACTTCAGGACAGCAGTTTGTATTGGTAGAACCATTGGTGTGATCAGTGTTTGAGTTATCTTGCAAGAGCCATCAGTATTTGTGAGTTTTGTTGAAACTCAAAGCATCTTCTCAAACAATCAAGGTGTGCAGTGATGCACCTGAAAATGATGGCTTAAAAAGAGCAGAGTTCTGCTCCATTGCCCAGCTGCTTACTGGACATTGCTTGCTATCCTCACTGTAATGGTTCCACCTGCTTTAGCAAGTTTGGAACTTAAACTATTAAAGTTCAGATCAAAAGTGACTACATGCAATAAAATGCTACATTTAACTAGCTAGAATACTTTTAGGTATGTTCTGAAATTTAATTAATTAAACTAATAAATGAGGCCTGTCTGAATTCTTCAGCGTTAAGGTTTCCAAATATCTTTCATGATTCTTTGTTAGGAAAACAAGTCACGTAATTTGTTTAGCCAGTGCAGATGTGTTATCCTGGCAGTTCTTTGAACTTCTCTGCTGATGATTTCCTTTACCTACAGCCGCCATCCATAGATATTGGCCTGTGAGTCCAGCTTTGGAGAGTTGTTCTTCCTCTGGCACTGCACACATGAATTGCCTCATCCCACACAATGTTGATTTTGGCACTTGGATTTTCTCATCATGCAGGGTATTTGAGTTCTTTTTTCAGTACTAAGCCTGCATCTCTAAAATGCCAGTGTTAAAAGAGCAGACATACTACACAGTGGCACTGGAATTTCCTGTCTTTTTTTTTTTTTTGCCCAGGTCATAACAGTAGATCAGAACAAGCCCTTGTTTCCCTTATCTAGAGAGAAGTTTGTTCATACTGAGATACAGCAACACAGGAGGAAAATCAAATGCACACAGGCACAAGAGAGAGAGAATATGGAATTGTTTTCTTTTACTGGTTCACTGCCCAGTTGGGCACACAGCTTTGGCTGGGTTAATCTGAAGCCAGGAGCCAGGAGTTCCACCTCTGTCTCCCATATGGGTAGAAGGAAGCTACATACATGAGCCATCAGCACTATCTCCCAGGATTTGCGTTAGCAGGAAGCTAGATCAGAAGCAGAACTGAGATTCGATTCTAGGTACTCCAGTATACGTTGCAGGCTTCTCGAGCGGTATCTGAACTCTTCGAGTAATAAGTGTTTACTAAGAACTCCTTTGCTGGCTGTTACACCCAGACGGCTGGGTAAAGTTTTCTAGAGGACATGTTGAATTTCTCCTATCCCAAGGCCATGTAGTTTTTATTTCTCTTATGTTGAAGTCTTAAAAGGGTTGGGAAAGAATGCTGGGTAAGTGCTTTGTAATCTAGGACTCAGGTTGATAGATATGGGTATCCTCTTTCAACGAGTTTGTAATATATTCACCTTTTCATTATTTGAAAGTTTGCAGAATGAAAAGCAAACCTTGATGACTTTATTTTGCTTTAGAAATATAGCTGTGAGTTGGAATTTGGCTATGTTGAGTTATGCTCAGATTGTCACATACCTTGGTCTGCTGTTGAAACCTGATGTTAAGATTTCATCAGGCAGCCTGTTTTATCTCCCTTCTGGTCACCTGTTGTCCAGCTGACTCCTCCTGTCCTGAAAATGGGGGATGGGGGACTATTTCATTGCCTTTAAGCTACTGTCTGCCTGGCTCCTTCCTGGCTTCCTGTAGAGGGAACTAACTTGGGAGACAGTGACTTCAGAAAGCTTAAATGAAACTACCAATCTAAGTGAGGGAAGAAGCAAACAGGGCCAAGTCAGATGGAGGTGCTGTGGCACAGCTTGGGTAGACCCACAGGGAGTAGTCGCATAGACAGTCCTGTCTTCCTTGATGGGGATGTACTTTCGCTGGTAAAACAGGTTTACCCACCTTGTCAGTCAATTCACCTGATTTAATTTTCTCTGAGGCTGTATTGATACCCATTTTTGTCATTAGTTCTCATTTGTGTGTTCATTGCTAAGGTGATCTCTGCCATTTAGAAAAAGAGGGAGCTGGGACTTTTCCCTTTGGGGAATTGTGTCCTGAATCTTTTATCTGGGTATTCAGATTCTATGGGAGACAGAATCACAGCTCCCAACTGAAACTACGGACACAAGTCAGCTAAAGGCAGCCTCTGAGAAAGCGTGTATTAGGCCAACGTGAACCTCATATTAAGTCAATGGACTTGAACAAGCTTTGTTAGAAAAATTCACGTGGTGGTCCTGGGAGTGGCGTTGTCTGTTGATGACTTTGCCTAGAATTAATAGACTGTTCCAAACAGCTAATAATTTTCATTGTCAAAATCGCAGCCTTCCAAGACACATGATGTGTCACCCTGGAAGGTGAAGGTCCTTTTAGAGCAGGCCTGACTCTTCATGTCCCTTTCTCCATCCTTTCACAGCTTTCCTGCTCACCCTGGGAGCAGCTGCACAGGAGACCAGTGTCTGAACTAGACCCTATAGGTTACCAGAATCTTTGGTGTAAAACTCAACATGTAATTTGGCTGGCATAGTCTTTGAAAGCATACAATTTTATGATTTTGAGCATGTTCTGAAAGTTATGTCCAACAGTAGCACTAATTCCACAGGATTTTCAACATGGCCCAAATGGAGCCATCCTGGGCGGCAGTGATTGTGCAGCTCCTATGGACAGCTGCTCGTCTCTCTGTCTCAGGCCCTTTCCTACCTTAGCCTGAAGTCTGTTGTATCTCTAGTTTAATGGTTGGGTGAAATGGAGAGGGGACGCTTCACAAATAAACTTCTGGGGGTTATTTTCAGTTTTTGTTCAGAATAACTTGTTGGCAGTGAGGGCCTGGGTGAAAGAGAAGGTAACCTGCAGAAATCTCTGAATGCTGATCCCTTTGTTGTTTATGGTCATGATTATGCTGTGTAAGTTCTCAAAACTATGAAACTTGCCCTTTCCATTTATTCTCTTTCCTTTAAGGAACAAAAGAAAAAGCAGCAGGGCAGCAGGCATGTGGCCTGTAGGTTATATGTTCAGCCTGGGTTTGATCTCCAGCTCCGCTTCCGGGTTCTAGCTTTCTGCTAATGGCCACTGTGAAAGGCACTGGGATGTCCCAAGTCATTGACTTGCTGCATCCATCATGGGTGACCTGGAGTTAGTTCCCAGTTTGTGGTCCTGGCCTGGCCTAGATCTAGTAGTTACAAACATTTGGGAATTGAGCCAGCTCATGAAAATTTTCTATTAATATCTCTGTCTACCAATAGATATTTATAATTTTTTTTAGAAAAATCTGTGATAATGTGCAGATCATTGAATTTAACCAGATAATGAAATTGATGTGTGGCCAGCACCCTTTTGAATTAAATCCAGAATCACTAACAAAATCATTGAGGTTCCTCTTGGCTTTCTGTTTTTGTGACTTCTAGGATACTCAGAATAAAATTCTACAATACTTTGGCAATCAGAAACAGAAAATACAGGTAGTTTGAATGGACTGAGGCCTTGGATTGTGTGTCCAGCAAGCCTGAAGTATAAATTCTTTGTTTTACAGCCTCTTGCATTAGTGGCAGATCCTGAACACAAATGGAAATTGATTGGAAGGCTAGCAGAGGGACCAGGCCTCAGCAGTTGAATTTGCAAGAGCTAACAAAATAAGAGGCAAGCAGGTGCTCAGGCTGATGGACATCACCTATGGCCCCTTTGATGGAGAGCAGGGTGTGGGTGGGTGGGTGGGTGTGTATGTCACAGAATCCATGGGTAATGAGTGCTTGGAAAGTCCTGGTACCAAAAATGGACCTTGTAGTACTTGTTAGATCTTTTCACCTTACAAGGTACCTTGTTTCTCTTGCCCATCTGGCTCTGTTGCATTATTTTAAGTGACAATTATTTAAAATTGCTGCAGGCTTACAATTCATGTAGCTTTTCCACTTGGCAGATACAACAGGAGTGCATTATTAGGGATAAACACATCAAAATGCTGTGGTTTACAAAAATACCTTGGATAGAGTTGAGTCCTTTGAAACAAGGGTATTCTTTTGGAAAAGATAAGTTTCCTTCAGAAATACTTGAGTTTTTCTGTATAGACAATGTGAGGGAAGATGAAGCAACAATCTGGACAACATTCTGTTTTCAATTGAATTAGGCCTGATTTCTTTGCTTCTGTGTTGCAAAAATTGAGTGAGTGGCTTCACCACCCAGAAATGAAATTCCTCTCGTTGGCCCTCAGCCTTTAACTGCTAGATTCCCACTGTCTTATAATGTCTCCCTTGATACCCTTGGTTCCTTCTAGAAACTGTTGGTGTATTTGTGTGTGTGTGTTTGCTTTTTAATGACAAACTGTAAAGAGGTGGGGTTTTTTTGTTTGGTTTGGTTTTTTTTTTCTTTTTAGATGACTTGAGTTTTTCTGTCCTAGGTAAAAAACAATGTTGCTCAGATGTTTTCCTGATAAACCTTTCAGACATAATTACATGTGGGGAGTTGCTGTGAGCCAGTTATGTGCACATGACCTTGTTGGCCATGTGAAGAGCTTTCTGTATTCCAGTTATTGTTTTGGTGTTGCTTCGTACAGACTGTGAGCCAATGGTTATTAATTTCTGTGAAATAACGTTTTCTGAAGGAGGAATGCGCACAATACAGGGAGGCCCTGTGGGCAACAGCTAGATGGGTTTTTGTGGCCACTGCTGTGTTCTGTTTTGTACTTCTTGGGTGTGTTGGCTCACAGTTAAAAATAGAGCTGTAGTTAAAATGGGTGCCCTTGCTGGAAATAAGAACTACATTTCAATTAGTAAATTTCCTGTTTCCTTACCATGTGTTTTTGTTTTGTTCTCTTTAAAAAATTTTAACAGCAAGCCAGGGCTGAGCAAGAGGAAGAATTCATCAGTAACACGTTATTCAAGAAAATCCAGGCTTTGCAGAAGGAGAAAGAGACGCTGGCTGTCAATTACGAAAAGGAGGAAGAGTTTCTCACTAATGAGCTCTCCAGAAAATTGATGCAGGTAAATTATCTTCTCTGCCCTCTCATTTTCTTTGCCTGTTTTTCCTCTCTAGGAAATAAAAGTACTTTGAGGTTATAGCTGAATATCTTTGGATCCTAAAATACCAGATTAGGATGGCTACAGCTTCGTCCTCAGGACACTGTCTATATCATTTGTTTTGGATAAGAGAAGCATTTGTACCTGGAGTGTTTAAAAACAAATATTGGGTCCAGCACAGTGGTCTAACAGCTGAAGTCCTCACCTTGAACGCACCGGGATCCCATATGGTCACGGGTTCTAATCACAGCAGTCCTGCTTCCCATCCAGCTTCCTGCTTGTGGACTGAGAAAGCAGTTGAGGATGGCCAAAAGCTTTGGGTTCCTCCACTCACATGGGAGACCCAGAAGAAGCTCCAGTCTCCTGGTTTGGTATTGGAGCAGCTCCAGCCATTGTGGTCACTTGGGGAGTGAACCATGAGACAGAAGATCTCCTCTCTGTCTCTTCTCTCTGTATATCTGACTTTGCAATAAAAATAAATCTTAAAAAAAAAAAATTGATGGGGCCAGCATTGTGTCACAGTAAGATAAGCCAACTCCTGCAATGCTGGCATCCCCAAGGAGACCAGCATGAGTTCTGATGTGCACTGCTGATGTCCCAGGGAAGGCAACAGATAATACCTCAAGTACTTTGCCCCTGCACCTACATGTGACCATGATGGAATTCCAGGCTCTTGAGGAAGACCTTCGTCCAATGATTCAGTCCCCAAGTGAGCACAACGGCCAGTACTGTGCTGATCCAAAGCCAGGAACCAGGAACCTCTTCTGGGTCTCCCACATGGGTGCAGGGTCCCAAAGCTTTGGGCCATCCTTGACTGTTTTCCCAGGCCACAGGCAGGGAGCTGGATGGGAAGTGGAGCTGCTGGGATTAGAACTGGCGCCCATATGGGATCCTGGCGTTTTCAAGGTGAAGACTTTAGCTGCTAGGCCACACCGCCGGGCCCAGCTGCTGCTTTTCTTATCCAGCTCCCTTCTCATGTTCTGGTAAGGCAGCAGATGGTGGCTCAGGTCCTTGGGTCCCTGGACCCACAGGGAAGACCTGACTTCCAGTGGGCCCAACTCCAGCTGCTGCAGCCATTTGTGGGACCAGAGGCAGGGGAAGGTGAACCAATAGAGGAAAGATCGCTATCTGCTCTTTGTAAAACTCTACCTTTCCAATAAAAATTTAAAAAATATTTCTTAAAATGAGTATTATGAAAGTTATGCATGGATTTTGAAGTGTGTGACCAAAAGTAAACTTACCTGTTCATTCCACTATTCCATATACTTTTTGATGTACCCTTGTATAAAGCGTTTTCAAAGTAAGGGAATTGACAGCAGCATGAGAGTTTTTGCTCCTTTTTTGTTAAATTGTTACTAACATAAAGTTCTTGGCCATAAAGGCAGGACTTTTGCACTAAAATAAGAGACTGTTAAGTAAAGTGAGGGAAAGAAAGTTACTGTGGCTAAAATTGCACATGTTCAGCCATGTTTAAAGGGTCACGTTTTGCTGAACAGACTCTAGATTGTTACTGAAAGAATAATGGTCATTGCTAACAGGGAGAAGATACCACACAAAACAGGCAAGTTTTATTTGTCTAGTACATCCTTCATTTTCTTTTATTGTACCAAAGTAAAGTTTGCTTAGGGAAATTAGTTGGGAAGTAACTTAGTATGAGCTTCAGATTGGTAGATCAGAGTTTTTGGTGAGTATACATTCTCCAAAAATCTGAGCCGGTATAAAATTACTGCAAGAAGAGTGTCATCACTAGATTAATGCCTATGAGGAAACACTCCCCATCCACCAGCATTACTGCCAGTTTCATTAGTTAGATTGAAGTACTTATCTTAGTATGTGATAAGGTTGTTGAAACTTATTGTATATGGATAGTACCTATTTAGTAAGCTATATGAAACCTTACAAAAATTCTGTAAATTACTTTCTTACCTCCCCACATATGATTCTGTAAGAGAATACTTAAGCTTGGATGTATAAACTTTAATGTTAAGACTACACCTGATGCAGCTCACTCTACCTCTGTCTTACATTCTAAGTGTGGACCTAATGGCTGATTAGAGATACTGTAATAGTCTTCTGTGAAATCCAACTTATGGGAGAGCTGTTAATGAGAAGAGACAGAAACCCCAGGCATTTATTCTTGTAGAGAGTTACTGTACTGGAACTCTTCATTGATTATTTTGGGTTGTGGAGTAGAGATAAAAGGAGAAGGTTAGTTCACCATGACAGTGTTAGGCAACTTATCCTGAGTAGTGCTTTGGAGTTGTATATAGGGATGCAATTACATTTTGTTTTTCCTGAGTTTAGTATGTAATCAGGTACTTTTTTTTTTAATTTAATAGAAAGGGAACTGCTGTCTCCTGATATATTCCCAAATACCCACACAGCTGGAACTGAGCTAGGCCAAAGCCAGGGGATAGGAATTCAATTCAGGTCTCCACCATGTGTGCCAAGACCCATTACTAGAGCCATCATTTCTTTAGTTGAGATGAGAGCTGGGGCTCTAACCCACTTATTCCGGTATGGGATGTGCGCCTTAACCTGTGTCCTTACCCCTGAGCCAGTTGGCCATCCAATAAGCACTCTAGCAAGATTATTTCTAGTGTGAATGCTTGTGTAGTTTATGCTTGGCTTCCCAATCATTTACCATAACCCTCTGCTTTTCAGAGACACTGGTATCCCTTAAGATAAAAGGGAATGAAAGTGCACAAGCCATGTTCAGTAGGCAAGAAAGTTAAAGGAGTAAAAACACTTGCCATGAGAAACCTTATCCTTTAAATTTAAACACTATAAATAATGTGTAAGCCTGGAGAAATAATGATTCCCTCCCTCCCCCATAATTGTTACAGCTAAAGAAAAAATCTGCTTATCAGAACGACAAAAAACTGCATAAGAAACTTAGAGAAACAGGTTTCTGTGAACAGACTAAATATTATAAACAAACAAAACCTTAAAAACTGTTTTGACCACAAGTAGTATGTAGTATGTGGCTCTAGTCTTCATACCGCCATGAGCTATTGATCCTCGGGACAGTCAGTGTGATGATGGAGGTCTGAGGACACGGGGGAACTCCAGATGGCTGGTTGATGTATGTTGTGTAGACTCTAGATGGATGCCCCAGCATGTCCTGGAGTTAAGCTCTCATGCATCCCACCCAGCTTCATTTTTCAGCTCTCTGCTGTTTTCAAGCTTATAATTTGGTAGCATTAAGCACATTCATATTGTTGTGTAACCATCTCCACCAGCCACCCCTGGAACCCTCCCAGACTGAAACCCAGGCACCAGTTAACGGTAATCCCTCCTTGCCTTTGCCTGGTTTTCTGGCTTTTGAAAGGGGAAAGGAGGTTGGTCTTTGACAGTTTCTCAGGCAGTATCCATTTGGCTGCGTGGCAGATGTGTTGCTTGGCCTGCCCTCTGTCTTGTGAAGAACGTGCGCGAGCCTGCCCTCTGTTGGTGATGGTCCAGCGATCTCATGGCTGCACTGAGAGTGCTGTCTGGTTTATGAAACATTGACGAGGCTCCCAGTACACATTCCCTAATGGTTTCAATCAGTCCTTTGTTGAATACCCACATTTTCTGCCACCCAACATGGAAGTATTGCTCTCCATCTGGAAGATTTTTAGAGTAATTGATACCAATGGGCTTTTCCAGTGATGTAATTACTTTAATATGGCTTTCTAGGATGTTCGCTTCTGAATAGGACTTTATTATGAGGAGCCTGCTAAGAGAAACCATACTGCATGTGTCACCAGTAGACAAATGGGTGAATTGACCTGTTCACTGGAAACTGCTGAGCATTTTTCATCCAAAGGCCATGACACTATTTATAGGACAATTTTTGTTTCATCATCCAGCTTTCGCTGTTATCTCTTGATAGTGTTTGCTCAGTGCTTTTATGTGCATTTCAAAGGGATTCTTTGATCCTGAGGACACAAAGAGAATATTGCTATAGAGGAGACATATGCCTTCCTATCTGTCATGGCCAAACTGGTATCCAATACCTTTAAAAACTGACTCTAGTTTGCCTTAGATGAGAAGTCATCCGTGTGCCTTGTTAGGGAGATAAACAACTCCAGACAGTTGATCTCCCCCAAAACAAGCAAAATCAAAAACAAAAGAGAACCTGGAGCTTTTGTGTATACCCAATGGACAGACAAGAAATTGTATCTTCATTTTGGGAAAGCAGTTTTCTGAAAAGCCTACATCTTTCCAAGTCCACATTGTTTTTTAGGAAAATTCCCCATTGATTAGTGAGTTGTACAAACAGAAAACCTCAACTAATTCTGCTAAGTCCAGCACTAGCTCTACAATGTCTTGAAAAGAAGTAGAGTTTAGTCATTATTTGTCATCCAAAATTGCAAGAAATGTTTTTATAACGAAATGTTTCATCAGAAAGTGATACACAGCTTTCTCATTAGGACAGAAAAGTCTAAAGAGGTGCTGTCATGCCAGGAGCACGTGTGCTTGAATGCAGAGCTTACGGGTTGTGGCAGTTTTCTTGGTACCTCTTCCAGTTTTATAAAAGCAACATTCATTCCCTTAGTAACTACAAAATGTTTTTTAACAAAGGAAATTGTGCAGTGTTTGTGCTTGTTCCGTCTTCAAGTTTTGAAACTCTGTCTGCCCCTGAGCGTGGGGGCTTTGAGCCTGCTCTCACAGCTGCAGCTTGGTTGGAGATGCTGATGAATCCCCTTGCTGAAGAGTCGGGCTCATAGACCCCTGATAGGAGGCTCCGTACTGCCCATTGCATTCAGAGCGGGTATAGTCAGAATGCTCTAATAATTAGCTTAACTGTCTTTCCATTCTTTGTATGATTCACTCCACTGGCCACCTGTCATAAAACTGTTAACTACCAGTCACTGATGCCAACCGAAAGCCCTGTCATTGCTGTGATTGATGTTGGTTTCAGCACTTGTGAATTTTACCACCTGCTTCTATGTAAACCTGATGGAGGTTTATTTCCTGCT